TGAAGGGGCCTGCCACTTGCCATGGCTCCCAGTTTTGGAATTGGCCAGGGGTGCCCCCAGGAAGCTGGTCTTCTAGCATTTAAGATAGCTCTCTTCTTGGGTTTGAGTTCTCCCCTGGTTCTTTCTCCACAGCATATCTCCCCTGGTTCTTTCTCCACAGCATATTCTTTGCTTTGTTAACACAGCAAATAAAATAAGCTCAGTCTGTATGAATTAAGTTCACCTGCACATCATGTTGCATGCTAAAGTTTGAAGATACTCTTTTTTTTTTAATGAATAAGAGGGGCCCCTGGGTGGCTCAGTCCATTTAGTGTCTGCCTTTGGCTCACAAGATGATCTCAGAGTCCTGGGATCAAGCTCCTAGTCAGGCTCCCTGCTCAGTAGGGAGTCTGCTTCTGCCTCTCCCTTCTGCTTATGCTGTCTCTCAAATAAATAAATAAAATCTTTTTTTTTAAAATAGGAATTAGGTTTGTCTTAATCATTTCTCTAGAAGGAAAGACCTGAAAGAATGTTTTAGGATTTTATCTAGCAATTTCACTTGGGTTTATGAAATATCACTTAGAAATATGGTTAACTTTTCCTATTTAGCTTGAAAGCTGTGACTTTCAGGTATAGCTCCAAGTTCCGAACAGCAGTACTGACAGAGCCATGACCCTGTGGGAAACCAAATTTAATTTCTTTCCTCCCAGGGGATTTGAGCAACCGGGGTTGCCCTCCTTAATGCCGTATGGACAGCGCTCACCTTTAGTGACACAAGCTAACTTACCTTTTGGAGGCCATCCCGAGGGAACACTTTGTTGAGTCCGCTACGGTTTTTAATCTGATGGTAGGTACTCCATCACCTCTCTCCAAACACAGTGGTTTTTGTCTTTAGAAGACTAGTAAATTATTGATGACCTTCCTTAATGCACATGATTCAAACTTTGCATTTAAAGTATTTCAGGACGCCATGGAATTTTTTTTTTTTTTTACATCTACGACAGGTTAAAATTAAGATGTAAGTTTGAAATACGTATTGTGAAAAAATCATTAATGCATCCCCATATCCTGCATAATGTGACATCATTTGGTTACTCTGTCATCCTTCTTGGGCAAAAGAAAAACATTCAGTTCATTTCTTTGCACCAGCTTCTGAATAATGTCTTTGCAAATATACAATAAGTTGTTGAAACAGGATGAATTTGGGAAGCTGCCTCTAGGAGAGAGGAAAGCTGACAGGTTCCTAATCGATGAGGAGCTGGTAGAAACAGTAAGGAGAAAGATGTCAAGCCTTTTCTCCATTCAGACCGTGGCATAATGCCTTTCCCTTGAAGCCTATTCAGATCCCCTTCCTTTTCTACTTCCCCAGTAAAGTGGATCAATGGGGGATGCTTCAGCTGAGGCCTCGGGTGGTGGTGGAGGGCACAGAGTGCTGCGGTGGGCGCCACGTGTCCTTCCCTACATTGTAAGGATCATTACTGTTAATGCTCTGCCTTGCCGGGAGCGGTGTCTGCAGAGCTACAGTCACAATGACATTAAATATAGGTCAAGTCGAAAACATTTACTCCTAAGGAGAAGGCAGGGTCAGCACTTAAATAATTTGATCATTGGCAGCTCAGAAATTACCCTGGCTCTCTCATCGAATTTGGTTTTCGCCACACAGAAAGGAGTAGGAACAAATCTTAAGTAGGACAGCCCCCCCCCCCCCCCCGGCTCAGTCAGTGGAGCATGCGACTGACTCTTCATCTCAGGGTTGTGGGTTCAAGCCCCACGTTGGGTGTGGAGATTACTCAAAAATAAAATCTTTAAGAAAATTTTTAAAAATAGGACATGCAAATAGAAATAAAGACTTTATTTTTGGTAAATTTGTAAGACTAACTGCTGTGACATATCTTGATCTTAATGGCCTAATTCAACAGAACTTCCTTATTCGTGTACCAGTCTGATGTGGCTGCTCCTTAACAGGTGACTCTTCCAGGTGATGATTCGGGGACCCTGGCCCCCCACCTCTTTGCCATAGTTGTTGCCGAGGTTCCCAAGTTCACCTGCAGGTTGTCTCTGTTTCCAACCTGTGAATGTATGAGAGAAAGTGAATGTGTGAGAGATTGAATGTGTGTGTGTGTGTGTGTGTGTGTGTGTGTGTGTGTGTGTGTGAATGTGTTTTGTGTGTCAAGCCTGCATTGCTTTTGCTCACATCCTACTGGCTAAAATTCAAGTGGTGACATCCTAACTGCAAGGGAATCTGGGGAATATATTCTGGCAGTGTCTCCTGGAAGAGGAAGAAAGGGATTTGGTGATGAGCTTTTAGGCCTATGCTTCTCAAACTTGATCTGCATCAGAATCACCTGGAAGCTTAAAATGCAGCTTCCTGGGCCCCTCCCCAGAGTTTCAGATTCCAGGGTCTTGAATGGGGCCCAACAATTTACATTTCAAATGAGCTCTCAGGTGATGTTGGATACAGCTGGAGCAGGGACTTTAATTTTGAATGGTTCTGTCTGGGATACATTTCTATATCTTGATTTATCCATGTTAATCATGGAATCTGGAAGTCTCTCTTTATTATCATCATGGCCTAAGGTATAGGAGGGAGGGAGATGGGTAAGATTAGATAGTCTTGGCCAGGCTACTCAGAATGTTAAAAATAATTAAGAGTAGAAGATTTCTTAGAGGAATTGGGGTTCTGGAGGACTGGGACCTGGGGGATGGGGCACTAATGAAGTGGCTGCACCCTGCCGAATCGGACGGGAGGGGAGTGGGTGCCTCTGCTGCCAGGAAGGGAGCTTCCAGTTCACTAGGTTAGTTCTGTTGAAACAGGAAGGCTGGGAGAATAAAGTTTCTGAGCAAGTAGGGATTCAGAGGAAGTGACAAGGAAGGACTGGCATGACAAAGGGGAGTTTGTGATGGCTGGAGCCAACCAAGCCTGGCCCTTGGATTGTGAGTTTCTCTGGGTCTCTGGATATCTGTAAATTGGGAATGACAATGTGTAATTGTTGGGTTGCTGTGAGAAGGAATCAGATCAGAGGGTTGTAAACTTTCTTGCTTCATGGTGCTTATATGTGAAGAAGCACCCTAAGTTTCATTTATTTATTAAGTGGTTAGCTCCAAACAAGTTCATAAATGTTTGTTTTAGTACTTTGATATTTGTAAAAATAATAATAAACATAAATGGAAAAGAATATACTTGTTTAAATAACCCTCAGTTCTTCTGGATGGGATGTATGCACCTGTGGGCCCCACGTGGCTTCTCAAACCTTGGAATCGTATTGGGCATTGGTACCCTTTTTTCCTGTTCCATGTTGACGTCTGCTTTTTATCCCAGCACTCGCTGAAAACTCTACTTTGCAGAGATGCGATGTTGTTCAAAGGAATATCATGCAATCTGACATTGAAACTGTGAAAACAACCTTAATTAGTATGTGCACAGTATCTGACCTGTGTTGAGTATTGCCATGCATCCCTCAAAAATGTAAATTTTTGCAGTGCTTCTGAGTTCACGGTAGTGACCTAGGTGCTTTGGTGCCTGGTGCAGTCCAGAGTGGGCAGAGAACACACTTCTGCCTCCAAAGGGTGTAGAGTCTAATGGGGAAACTAGACATGGAATTAGATGCTCCTGTAAGTATAGACTCCCATCGGGGCTAGGCCAGGAAGGACAATTTCAGGTGCTATGAGGGCTTATGGGAGTAATAGTTGAATATCAGGAGGTTTCTCAAGTTGGTGGCCATTGCGTTGTTCCTAAAGGCTGAGAAGTTAACATGGCAAGAAGGCAAAGAAACCATAGTCTAGGGAGTGGGGAATAGGATTCTGGGCAGGTGTTTTTCAAACTATGGTGAAGGACCCCCTCCTCTTCCCCTCGGTTACACTGTGGTTGATTCATGACTAGTATGTAGCTTGTAAGTTTCTTGTGTGTGTGTGTGTGTGTGTGTGTGTGTGTGTGTGTGTTGGACAACATTTGGACTGTTTATTGAGACATCTGATCGTGCCATTGGATGATGAAGCAAAGCCAAATTACAAAGCTGTTGTAGGCTGGGAACAATCTGTCGTCCGGCAAAATCTGTGGGCCTCACTTTGAGTAACTGTTCTAGACAGGGAGGAACAGCATGAGCCAAGGTCCTGTGGTGGGAGACAACGTGGTGCTTCTGAGGGTGGAGAGGAAAGGCTAATGTGAATGGAATAGAAAGTGAAAAGGTTGAAAAGTCGGCAGGGGCTGTAGTGAGTCTCTAGGCCCCAGGAAGAAGTTGAGCCTCAGATGAAGACCTTTCCGTCCTGGTGGAGAAAGGGGAGGTTGTTGTGATGACTTCCTAGGTGAAGGGTGGAGTGGATAAACAGGCTATAAAGATGTGTGGCTATAGAGATCTGTTTGAGTGATTCAGGCAACTTGCAGTCCCTCTGCTTTGACCTTGCAATGGCCTCCCAGAGCAGAGTGGGTTCTTCTCTCTTGGTGTTGAAAACGATGTATAGAAGGGTCTGCTGGAGTATAACAGGTGGCTGTGTGAGCGTGCTAGTTCCCTGACAGGTGACCCCTAGAGCTCCGGTTCCTTAGGGTTACCTGGGCCACCAGCAGGAAGCTCAAGGCCCAGCTTGCTGTTCCCTGGGTATAAACTGGCCTCTCTTAGAGGCTTAGAGGAATTCCAGCTGTTCCCAGGAATCCTATGAATTTTGTTACCCAAGTCTGTGTCCCAGTGCATCTGCTTGCCTTTGGGGGAGGCAGGGATCATTCAGAGGTTTACTGTGGTATCCATGGCACTAGACGAGGTAATGGGCATTGCACCAAATCCTGAATGGACCTGGCCCTTGCCTTGCCCATAGTGGCCCATTATAAGTACCCTTCTGACTTAAGAACCAAGGGCTCTCTCCCAACCCATGGGCTGACTTCTGCAGGGTCCCCAGGAGAGACCTTTGGTTTCCACCTTCCTGAATCAAGAGCCTTGATGTCAATTTAAAGATGGCTTTCCTCCTTTGCTTCAAGGAGTGAGCTGGAGAAGGAAAAAAAAAAAATGACACACTGTGGTTTCTTTGCACAGGTACTTTGTGCTGGATTTTGAGGCTGGCATCCTGCAGTACTTTGTGAATGAGCAAAGCAAACACCAGAAGCCTCGGGGAGCCCTGTCTCTATCTGGAGCCATAGTGTCCCTGAGTGATGAAGCTCCCCACATGCTGGTGGTGTACTCCGCTAATGGGGAGATGTATAAACTGAGAGGTATGTTCTCCTGCTAACTCTTCAGACTCGTCTCAGGGGCTGCACTCATAGTTACCATGGGGATGGCTCTCTTGTGGGTTTTTTTTTTTTTTTTATTCACTTTTAACAATTTGCTGTGTTTGAAGACTGTGTGGTGATAGACACTGCCTCTCTTACGCCTGGGGTGGGGCAGATGGAGCTGACATTAGGAATTGCTTGTCCTAAATAACTGAGGAATTAAGGGCAGATGAAAGGTGAGTGACAGCTCAGCTTTAGGATTTCAGATTTTTCATATTAGCTCAATGTATATTTTCTTTGACTTTACAGTATGAATTCACTACAATCCCCTGTGGGGCTATGCTGTGAGGACAAAACAAGCCTTTAAGGGTCAAGGCACTCCCTCCCGCCGCCTCCAGTTTCTCTAGGACCATCTATCAGTAAAGGGCCCCTTCACGTATATTGTATTTATTTTTGTAGTATTAGAGCCTGATGAGGAAGCCATCTGCTTGGTGTTAATTCTTTTTTTTCTTTTTCCCCTTCTCTTTGCTTCTTGAGAACTGAAGTCTACTCAGCAGCTTCATGGAGGATAATTCCCCAGGAAGCACCACATTTGGCCATCGCTATAGGTTCAGCTACCCCCAAGGCATATCCATCGTATAGGTTTTTAGCAATGCCAGATCTGACTGTAGCAGTCTAATTTGATTGCTAGATCATTCTTCCATCATTCCATTACAGTTGCATTGCCAGAAAAATTGTCAACGTCTTCTAATGAAACAACAAAAACAAAAATCCAAATGCACACACATACCAACCCAATGTTATTAAGTAAGGTCTGAGGAAGGATAGTTAGTATTTGTATGTATTAAGTGTTGGGGGTTGGTTGATAATTCCCCCTTCTTACATTTTTCTTTGCCCAAGTAAGGGCTCAGTACAAAGAAAATGCCCCTTCTATCTCTCCTTGACCCTAAGGAACTACAGTGATAGGTTGGCCTCTGCAAAGCCAGACCGAGGGCCTAGACTCCTGCCTGAGTCCTGTTTTCATCGTCCTACCTCCACGCTTTACTGCCAAGAGATGGAATAAGCTAATGTTTCTTTATTATCTATGTACAAGTCATATTTTAGAATCTATAAAACAATCCAAAAACCTATGAAATAAAAATGCCTATAGTTGAAAAAAGTTTTTCAGTTTTTGGAAACGTGGCAAGATTCATGTTCTCTTTGGAGATTCATGCAGTGTGTGTTCTAGCTGGTTAGATTTATATGGTCCTTGCTTTTGTTTTGCTGTTTATTGCTTAATAAATTGTTAGAGCAGAAACAAAAGCAGGTGAAAAATTTAATGGCACTACCCCCTCACCCGCCCCCCTATGGTTTATAGAATGACACAAACCCACACAAATGAAAAAATCCAACTAATATGACAATTGAGCCATCTCCTTTTGCCTTTTAAGAGTTGATACTATTCTCAGGATTATTAAACCCTAGAATTTTTTGTTTTTGTTTGTTTTGTTTTTTAAGGGCAGTTTTAATAGCAAACACAGAAGTTTTATTATCTGCGTGACATTATCACAAGGGGTAAATTTAGCTTAAGGTTAGCAATGGCAGAAAAGGCAGGATAATTTTCTGCAGATATATGGCTCGTCCTTGGCTTGTCCTTGGCTCATCCCAAGAGGATTTGGGTATTGGTTTTCTCATTGCACATCTCACTTACACGTAGAGTTGAATGGATCTTGATGTCAGTAGATACATGGCTTCTGGGAGTGTTTTTGGTCATGAGCCTTTGAATTGGCAGTTCTTCACCTTTCCTGAGGAAGAAGGCTCTAGTTTCTGTGGAATCCTTTGAAAGTCAAGTTCACCTGGCCTTATGCTGGTCTACCACTCCATATTTGTTCAGTCAAAAGTTCAAGCTGAAGTTGAGTTGTATTGACAATGACACTGAGGCCCTTTTTTGTAAACAATTATAACTTCCAGGGGAACCTGTTTCCTGCACAGTCAACATTATGCAGTTAATGTTATATTAAACTATTTATGCAGTTAATTATGCAGTGAAATAGATGATTTAGGTTTTATTAGAACCTGTTATGTATCCATGATACTTTAAGAAAATGATGTGATATATTTGAGCAATTGAAGTGTAGGTGGAAGATAATGACCAAACACTTGGTTTGTATTTTAATGTTTCTTTGGGGGAAATTTGAAGATCTCTAAAGCAGCATTTGGTATGTTGTTCTGTCCAATCATAACATGAATCATTGAGAACACATTAAAATAATTCAATTGAATGCTTATTTTGTAGATGCCAGTAAGTCCACGGTACAACTCTAGAAATAACCAAAGGTCCTGAAAAACTATACTTGGAACCTTTTGTTAGCCACATGTGTAGAGGTGCATAGAAATAATCATGTTTTTCCTAACCTGCTTTTTATTTTCATTTTATTTTTTTTTAAGGTTTATTTTTTAGAGTGGGAGGAGGTGGGGTAGAGGGAGATGGAAAGGAAGCGAGAATCTGCAAGAGACTCCCCACTGAACATGGAGTCCCCTGTGGGGCTCCATCCCATGACCCTGAGATCATGACCTGAGCCAAAACCAAGAGTTGGACACTCAACGGACTGCACCACCCAGGCGCCCCCCACTACTGCTACCTTTTTAAAGTAGAATTTTTTTTTTCCCAGAGGAGGTTAAAAAGAATGGCAAAATTGTTCCTAAAAGAGACATTTCAGAGTACATTTTTTAATGTGTTAAGAGGGAATTTTCTGTTGAGATTTAGTGTAATTTGTTTTTTTGGTGTTAAGCACTGGCTGCTTGAGAATATTGTCATCTGTCTTTGTTTTTCCCTTTGTTCTCTCCCGACCTCCCTCCCTAGGCCCCCCACCCCCTTAGGTGGGTGTAGAAATAGGTTGAATACATTTTGGAACAATCTCTGCAAGCATTTGCTTTCTCTCTTTTAGCTGCCGATGCAAAAGAGAAACAGTTTTGGGTGACTCAGCTTCGAGCTTGTGCCAAATACCACATGGAAACGAGTTCTAAGGTAAGTAACCACCAGGGAAGTGTGGAGGCATTGGGGTAGTTTGGATAGCTCCCCTTCAGTCCATTTATCTGTTTCTTTGGGGAAGCTGTTTTTCATGTTATTTTTGAAGTTGCCCCCATAACGGAATTCATACTGCTACTGCATTTAAATCTAAAGCCAAGAGAAAAGTAGTAGGATTAGCTTATAGGTAGAATGAAGAGGCCTGCAGACACCTCCTAGAACTGATTCTGGAAAGACACTTCTCTTGTTGCAAGTTGTCAGTCTGGGCAGCTGTTCATGTCTATTGAGAAGCCCGAGTGGGTGATTTCACCATGGGGGCAGAGGAGTCAGATTTACTGTTCATGAAGAGTAGTTATTGTCAGTGATCCTTAAATAAAACCTGGACCCCAAATTGATTAAGTATCCTGCAAGGAGCTTCAGCATTCCAAGTATAGAAATGCTCTCCAGTAATTTGGCATCCAAGTATGAATTCTTTTCTCTCCAGGATTCGGCAGGAGGTCTTAGATCAGATAGGTAGGCATTTTCATGGATTATTCGGAGGATTTCCTAGCATTACTTGCAGAATAAATTTATTCAGGGCAATGCATATTTGTTGAAATCCATGCTCAAAGAACTACTCCTTTTATATCATTGATTCCAGGGTGGTACAGTACCACTTGCAGTGTTTTTTCCACATTCCATGCATCCAATACAAAGACCCACATATGAAACTTCTGATGATTTGAATCCTGTTGCCAGTCTGCTGTCTTGCCCAAGGCCATGGGAGATGTCTTGCTTAGGTACACCTCCCTGTTCTGCCTCCGAGTATAACCCGAACTTCATGATTCGGGTTATATTTCATGAACAAATCTTCATGATTTTGTTCACTGTTCATTTTTTTTCTTTTAGAAGACATCTTTTCCTTGACTTGCTTACTATTGTTTCGTTCTTACCCCTCTTTACTTAGCCCCAGCAGAATCTGCGTTATTATAGGTAGTATAGGTAGGGCCCTACTTCTAAAGAGTTGTGTTTTTTTTTTTTTTTTTCCCCTCTCCCTGGCTTGCTTTATTTTCCAGGAATTATGATAGGAGTTCTGGGCATTTCATCAGTATTTTATACACTCCTAGGTAGGACAGTTAATCATTTTTCTTTTTCCATGTATCTTTTTACTTTTTTATGAAACAGAAGGGCATAAAATAAAAAGGACAGATCTCCCTGGATTGCCATGTGTGCTCATTAGAGATAATTGCATTTAACACTTCTTGTATGTCATTCAAGCATATTCAAGCATGTGTTAGTATGTATGTATATCTGTATCTGTATTTTTTACACAGATGGTATCGTATCATGCATAACAGTCCCACCCCCTTTAAAGGTATTTTGGACATATGGGATCTATTACACTCTTAGGATGGATGGATGGTGTTCTGAGGAATGGTTGTCTGCTTTACTTAAGTCCTCTACTGATGGACATTTAGGTTGTTATACATAATGCTATAGTAAACATCTTTGTATATATATATCTTTTTGTACCTCTAGGTATACATATGATGAATTGACATCTGTGGAAATGCTGGCTTATAGACTCTGTGTCAGCTCTATTTTCCTAGACATTGCTAAATTGTCTTCTAAAAAAGTTGTCCTAATTTGTACTCTCACCAGTTTGTGTTAAAGATGCATTTCCCCCTCTCACTGACTGTGGCTCCTCTAACATTCAGTTTTTGATAGTCTCATGGATAAAAAATTAATCCCCCATGATTTTCATTTTCACTTCTAAAGTCATGACTGGGGCTGAGAATGTTTTAAAATGTTGATTGCTATGTGTATTTCTTTTATGTGACCTGCCAGTTTTTATCCTTCATCCATTTTTCTATTGAATTCTTTTTTTTTCCTCCTTGATTTGCACTTAGCTATATGGGTATTGAGCATATTTGTCCTTTGCCTGTCATTTGTATTGTAGATATTTTCTCCTGGTAGGTGACCTATATTTTGACTTTGAATATGTTTTTTGCTATGTAGGTTATTTAATTTTTGCAGTCAAATTTATGAATATTTTCATTTTTGGCTTTTGGTGTTACATCATGCTTAGTAAAGGCTTCTTTGTTCTAAAATTATGAAAACATTCTTCAGTGCTTTCCTCCAGTGAATTTATAGTTTAATTATCATGTTTCAATCATTGGTTCATCTGGAATTTATTTTGGATGTAAGAATTGAGGTCGGGAAACCAACTTGAAGTGCGTTGATGTTTTAATGAATCATTGGAGACAAGGAAAGGTAAAGGCCTCTTAATGGTAGTAAGAAATATGAAGAGAATTTGAAGATTCTCTGAAGGAGAATTTGATTTACTGACATGTTCTCTGGGTAGTTTCAAGAATACAGATTAACCTGTTAATGTAGAACCCAAATAAATAATAATTTAGATGGTAGGGCCTGAGACCAGAAGTAGGATTGCTGACCATCCCTCATTTATAGCATAGCTATTGTGATCCACTAGGGAATAATAATTTTTAAATTGTGAACAGACCTTGGTGGTTTAGCAGAGATATTACGAAGTCCAAGGCCACTTAGGCAAAAGCTAGTAGTGAAAATGAAGCTGAGCTTAACATGACTATAAACTTAATGTCCAGCTACTGACTTTGCATTATGGTTGTTAGGAATATATGCTAAGCCTTCTCTTTATTCTGTTCTTCCTCGTTTATTCTCAGCAGGGTCAGATCTCTCTCCAGTAGATTATAGAAAATATTCTCCCTATGATTACTTGGAATTTTGCCTTTTAAAAACTTTTTATTTAAAATGAAGCTTTCCCTGGAGCAAGGATGAGGCAGTTGGAATGGTGCCAGCATTCTAACTTAACCTAGTGAGAACTATGGGATAATCGTGTTCATAGAGCCCACAAAGGACTTCACGGACGCTGTGGCCAGTAGTTCTGAAACCCAGACCTGTCTCCGTCAGTATCCGATGAGGTTTTCCCCAGTCTTGAAGTGAAATGAGAAAAACATTTCCTAAACATGCCTGAAATCAGCTTTATTCTATATAAAGGACAGCTTTTTATTCAGAAATTACATTGCTTTGCTTTTAGAGGGTTAAAATACTCTTTTTATTGTAGAAGATACGGAGTATATACGGACCTATTGATTGCCTTTTTAAAAAATGTAGGTTTATTGAAGTATAATTTACATAAAGTAAAATTCACCCCTTTTAAATGTGAAGTTTATTTTTTGACGGATGCATGCAGTCATGTAACCATCACCACAATGGTCATTCTGCCACCGTGAAAAGTTCTCTCATTACCCTGCTGTGGTTGATCCCCTTCACTCCCCCTCAGCTCCAGGCAACCACTTATCCATTTTCTGTGTGTAGTTTTGTTTTTTTCGAGAATATTCTATAAACGGAACTATACAGCCTTTCACATCAGACTTCTTTCACTTAGTGTAATACTATTGAATTTCACTTATGCTGGTGTATTAGTAGTTGATTCTTTTTAATTTTTTGCCGTTTTAGTGACTGGTACTTTTTGTTCTTAATATATTTTTTCCAAAAGGGATGCCTGGGTGGCTCAGTGGTTGAGCGTCTGCCTGAAGGTCGTGATCCTGGGGTCCTGGGATCGAGTCCCACAACAGGCTCCCTGCAGAGAGCCTGCTTCTCCCTCTTCCTGTGTCTCTGCCTCTCTCTCTGTGTCTCTTATAAATAAATAAGTAAAATCTTAAAAAAATGTATATCTTTTTCAAAAATCAAAAATGATTATCAGTCCCCAGATTAATCCCTAAATTCTAAGGTCAAAAAAATTTTCTAGATCTCTTCTCAGATTTTAATAAAAGTACTGGCTTTTGAAACCTAAGAGTCTAGCTATCTTGTGAAGCCCCTCTAGTGTCCCCATGAGGAAGCTCTAGCCGGGAGGGTGGGAGAGCCAAGGCTCGGGCTCAGGTCTCTGGTTCCTGCTCTTACCTCACACATGTCAGTCGGGGCTGCCATCTTTCCCACCATGGGAGATGGGGCCCCTTATAGGACCATTTCTCTTCCATGTGGACAGAAACTGCCAAAGACAGAAGAACCCCTTTACTGGCCACAGTAGATTCATCCTGTGGCTGATAGTAGTAGCTTGACGTGTAGTCCCAAGGGTGTGAAGAGGGTCTACTAGGAAGACTAGGACACTGACTTTCTCTGAAAATACAAACGACAAAATAAACCACTTATTTTTAATGCAGTATTAAAATTTAGGCAGCATAAAGCCCTGAGTGGCAATGAGTGAAGAGAGAGTTGTAGGGAACTGTCTTCGTGAGAATTTACTTTTATGTGACTTTGAAGTCTCAAATGTGGGAGTGGGCATCTAGTTTTTATCAAGTAGGTGGTGTTTAGAAGCCCCTCTGATGGGGTGCAGTGGTGTTCTGGGGACTGTGATAAGCACTGAGCTTGGGAAAGGAACTGTCTGTTGATAGGAGTAATGATGTTTAGTAACCTCTGTGTGCATGACCATTGCTGGGGATCATACTACCCTTCACAGTGGTCCTGTGAGGTAGGTGGTATTGTCTCCATGTTTACAAATTAGAGGGCTGAGGCCAGTGGAACCTCAGTGGTAGGCTCAGAGTCATGTAGCCATGAAGTGAGAGCCCAAGTCGCTAAACACAACCCCCCCCCCCCGCCTCATCCCTCCTTCTGGTTTCCTGGCAGGAGCTACGGAAAGGTTCAGGATGGTATTCTTCTGCCATGAACTCTGTATTTTATAATGTGGAGGGGACAGCTCTGAATAAGACACCTGTAATTTTTATGTACTTGAGGGAACCCTTTTCCAATCTTTTAAATAGATTTTGATCCCAGAATTCTTCAGTGAGTTGGCTTAAAAGTAATGTTGGCCTTTTGCACTAATTTTTTTTTTTTTTTTTTTGATGTAAGCTTATGATAGCACTTTTGGCAAGTGCCTGTGAACTTTGAATGCAAAGCGTCTTCTGATTGAGTATATATGCATGTTTCAGCTCAGGACATTCTAGTTTACAAGAAATAATGTGAAGTGGAGTGAGAGGTCC